CTTTACTAAATATCAAATAAAATTAATAATTCGCTTTTTAAATGTTTCTTTTTAAATAGCCACACTATCCGGAATAAATTTCATGCCTTACATTCTTGGTGTAGTAGTATTCTCAATCCTAGCAGGTCAATTTTTCTCTCGAACTGATAAAGTATCATATCGATTTGTAACTTTAGTTGCTGCTTCATTAGCAATAATCGGTGCTGGTTTAACCACTATGTGGAATGAAAACACTGGATACGGTGAATTTATAGGGTATATGGTAATTGGTGGTGCTGGAATCGGTATAAGTATCCAATCTCTTATATTATGTGTTCAAGGATTGGTTGAGCAAAAGGATATAGCTTCTGCTACTACTTTAACATTATTCTTTAGAAGTAGTAAGTACTCAAATATATATATATATATATATATATATATGTATATGTATTATATTTATTTATTTCCTGAAAATTGCTTTACTAATTCATTATCTATATTTTTCTCTTTAGTTGGGGCTGTTTTTGGAATTGCAATATCCCAAACAATATATAATAATAAGCTTTCACAAGCATTAAGTACATTAACTTTACCTCCAACTTTTTCAACAAATTCTGTATATACTATAAGATTATTATCACCTGAAGAACAGTCTTTAGTTATTCACGCTTATGTATCAGCATTTCAACTCACTTTTTATTTTATAATACTTTATAGTGCATTAATGTTTATTTTAGCTTTATTTATGGGAAATAGTAAACCTAAGTTTATAGAAGGAGATAAAAACCATGCTATATTTGAAATTTAATATTATTTTTTTTTAAAAAAAGAAAATTTATTAATTTATACCAGTGTATGAAACACGGGTATTATTTATAAAGAAAAAAAATCGAATTAAAGTTAAGATATATTAGTTAGGATTAGAGGTAGTTTATACTAAAATTTTACTAGAATTTTTTTTTTGTTAGAACTCGAAGAGTGGTTTCATAAGCAAAATTTTATGTTATTATATGTACTCGTGTTTCACACACTAGTATACAAATAGAAATTGCCAAAAAAAATACTATTTAACGTATGGAAAAAAACATTGTATGCATATAAATAAAAATCATCATAATCACATTATTTTTTTTCATACTTTGATCAAATGTTTCATAGTCTCTTATAATGTGACCAACTTTGTTTACCCATTCTGTGAGCTTTCCCCAAGCCAGATTGATTTCCTCTTCATCAGATTAATATGTCAAAGAATAATAATGACAAATGATGACAAAAATTCAACTTCACATAGGAAAATGTTTATATAACTTATCATCAAAAGTGACAGGTTTAATATTTTATATCAAAAAAATTTTACAACAACCGACCTTTTAAAATATTATTGATCGTTTATTATACTTCATCTTGAGCATGAATTAAATACATATCTATTTTTCGATCTATCAAAACTTTTTATTATAAATGCAATACAGTGTAAGTATATAAGTAGTTTTTATAGCCTGGCTGAACTCTCGAAACAACTTTATATATACTAAAAAAAATTGATCTTAACGTGTCTGCTTTGTGACTGCTAGGGATGTTAGTGGTCCACAGAGGGCTGGATCCGGACTGTTTTTGGACCAGACTTTTTTGGTGACTGTCCAGATCCGGTCCAGATAATCACAATGGGATAACTACAGTTATGTTTATCCAACTGAATATTCAACTCTTCGATAACTCCAATTTTAACTACAGTCTGACCTCTCTATAGTCACCTCCTATATAAGCACATTT